GGACCAGAATCGAACCCGGGACACTTCAGTCTGAAGGTCGATGCTCTATCCACGGAGCCAAACCAGCTAGGGCTTTTCAGTATCCTTATCCTGTGAGCGGTTGGCACATTTCTGCAGCCGTGGTAGGAAACAGTACTTGACGCTGAAAAATCCCTGCCACTCTTACCGTTTGGGCATCCTGAGCCCACGCAGACATCACCAACCAATCAAGCATTCTTTTTTGCGGAGCTCCCAGTATTTTGCCGTTCTTTTCCACATAGCACTCCAGGTCACCACAGCCAATCAGCTGGACTTGGCATTCAGCGAGGAACCTGGTTGCCACCTCTGCCCTGGGGAGATCTGCCCTGTTTCCAGGTGCTTAGCCCCTGACTGAGGACCCTGGCATAATGGGGTTTGAGAGGCCTGTAAAGGTCACCTGTCCCATCCTGTGACTTAACAGAGAAGGAAACTGAGCCCCAAAGAAGAGTAGGGCAGTCCCAGTGGTAGAGCAGGGCTGGGACCCAGAACTCCTGATTCCTAGGCCAGGACTCTGTCTGTCTCCACATTGCCTTTACTTTCCAATCCGCACAGTTCTATGCCCACTGGGGCACTTACTCCAGCTGAAGGTGCCTCAACCCTCAAGTCCAGGTGGCATCTCTGGCAATGGGAAGGTGCCCCATTCACTGCTGTGCCAGGCCATCCTGTGGACTCCTGCAGGACCCGGCCCCTCATACTTGCTTCCTCCTTGGCCTTGCTCTTGGACCAGGGCTTCCTTGCCCCACGTGCTGCCATTGCACACTCTGCTCCGGGCACATTGGACAGTTCCAAGCATGCCTCAGGCCAGGCTGGCTCTTCTTCCTGTTTATGTGCTGCCTCTGCCCACCCCACCCCCCACTGTGGCTGGTGCATCCACACCGACATCTTCCCTTTCTTATGCCTCCATGGTGGCCAGATAGACATTTCTCATAACCCCCCTGTACTGTTCTCTCATACTTTCTGTTCATTTATCTGTCCACGAGCTCAAGATCCACTTTAAGGGCTCCCATGTCAAATTTTCTTTTGCTCACCCGGCCGGTGTGGCT